GATACATGTAGTTCAGCCATTTCTTCAATATACGGGATACAGTAGCCTCGTTGCAACCAAACAGGTACGCAAGTTCATTTTCCATGCGACCCAGTCCGAGCCGCATCATCGTCACTAGCAGCTGGTCATCAAGAGATATCTGTGACTTCCGGCCACTCCCTGGTGCTATTTTGCGACCTTGCGCCAAGGTCTGTGATGCTTTCTCACTCATTATATTGGACTCAGAGGGCTTCAGAAATGTCCACAAACAATGCCAAGTCTCTGGGCAAAGTCCAGTGAGGTATTTCAACTGCTCAGGGTTGTCCTTGATGTTGTTATATCGGAACAACTGAGACTTCAGCAGTACGACATCAGCTCTGAGGACTTCGCAGCGCTTCTACAGCACGCTTGTTTTCTTCTTCAACTCGGATACCTCTAAGGTCAGCTGCCTCTCACGCTCGGTCTCTCCCCTCTTCCTTTTCATTGGCTTGGACTTCAACTGCTCGGAGCGTTTCTGGCCCATGCGTAGTCTCTCCTCGTGAGAGGGTCGCTCTGGAGCTGGTGCAGCACTAAAACTAAACTTAGACGGAACAGAGTCCTTTCTCAGGCGTCGACAAACTCGCTTTGCGCTGGACTCTGCTTCTACTGCGGGAAAGTAGTCAAGGTTTACGAAGTGCTTATTGCAGACTACAGTATTTCCTGTGATAGTAAAAACTCCGTCCTTTTCTTCTCGACGTATAGCATGAATCCATTTCTTTCTCCGTTCGGGTTCGGAAGGGAACGTATGGAACGAGAGGCTCGGTTCCTTCTCTCGTCGACTGGTGCACTCAGGAACGCAACAGTGGTCATGCTTTGGCATGGTGATACAACCAAACAACGCAACGCTTGCCGAAAAGACTAAGTAAACTGTATCACGGTTCGTCAAGCAAAACTAAATAATAGAAAAAGGCGAAAGTCTCAAAGGTCAGAGCTGAGAAGGTCGACCTCGCGGACCACTTGCCCTGTCTCGAACCCAGACAATCTTTGTGCAAGTCATCTATTTCACTCAATGTAAAATTGTAAAACAAGTACCCAGACCCACCCCATGGCCAAATTGGTTCTGCGACTCTAATGGTCCGCCGTAGTGGCCAGGTCAATGACGAGTTGATTTATTGATTGATGAATGATTTATTAAATTCCTGACTTCTTGAGTGGTCACTTGAGTGAAAAGACATGCACATGGATTTGTTCCAACTCCATTTATGTTTTCAGAGGAAGGCATCAGGTCTGAAGGCCAAAAAATAACCAGAGGAAAAGGATTTGGCAGGCAGATTCTACTGGACCCGTATCAATATTAAATTTTTATTCTCGTAGCTATGCAGAAGACGTTACTTTAGTAACGTCTGGCGCTAGCCAGGGTCCACACAGCTTTAATTTGGTGTTTGTGTGTTTGTTTGTTTGTTTGTGTCACGCCTGGCGCTATCCGTATCTGACGGCAAAAAAGCATAGGATGTTATAAATTTTTCAATCCTCCTACTTTTTTTTTCAGGCATATCCTGGGATTCGAACCCACACTATCGCCCTACATGCATTCCCCCATACACTTCGCATTCATACCCATTCTTCCAAGTTGCTTCACGTTATTATCTTGCGTTTGAAAGCCCTATTTGAATATTGCGGGCAGCTGTGTTTGATGGTACGGTACGGTACGGGAGACGGTGTCGTATTACCCTCGATCGTACCTGTCCCGTACCTATTCCCTACCGTACCGTGCCATCAAAGACGGCTGGCCACAATGCATATTCAAATAGGGCTTTCAAATGCAAGATCACAATGTGAAAAAACTTAGAAGAATGGGTATGAATGCGAAGTGTATCGGGGAATGCATGCAGGGCGCGCGATAGTGCGGGTTCGAATCCCAGGTTATGTCTTAAAAAAAGGATTTTTTTAAAGAATTTATAACATCCCTATCCTTTTTTTGTCTAGGTCATCAAGGCAAAAAAGCATAGCGTAGGGCCCTGAGCTTCCAAGCTCTCTCGTTTTGTCACTGCGCACTTACACGAGAGAGCTTGGAAGCTCAGGGCCCTACGCTATGCTTTGTTACTTAGCTCATCGTGCATGTTGTGGGAACGGATGGAAATGTTTCCTGGGAAGGCGCTGACTCTGCCGAGCACGCGCGTTCTGGAGTCGACGGGATCACTCTGCCGACGTTTCCTGTGACCGGCGCTGACTCGCCCGTTCACGCCTATTTTGGAGACGACGGGATCTCTCTTCCAAAGTATGTTTTTGCTGACACATCCTATCACCTATTCGGCAACTAACATCCATTCTAATTTTATTTCCTCCTCGTCTCCCTATTTCTTTCCAGAAAGTATCTCTATACATCAGGGAGTCGTACTGTATTGGCAGCTACCCTAACGGGTCACGCCGCCCACCACCCAAGCATGGGTATGATGAGGGACAGTGGCAACAGAAACAGAAAAAAAACAGCAAGCAGGGAGAGAAAGCAAGAGAAAGACGGCGATAGTAGTACATCTGGTGTGCGACGTATAGAAAAGAGAGATGACAAGAGATGCGCACAAAATAGGAAACAATAATTATTTTTGCAGTTCCGAAACAATCAACCAGGTGATGGAGTGTGGGCACCCGAAGTCCCACCTGGACTCCACTGGAAGAACATCCCACGCAGGGATATCAGCGACAGGCCAAGCATTGAAAAACAGCCATGAGGACACATCGTCTAGAAGTCCACCGCGCTCGAACTGAAATTGCAGGTTCAAACAATTTCCCACGCGGCGTCAGGCAGCGTAACTCTTCTCCCTGCATCACCATCCATCTCCAGCAACCGTCTCCACTCACAGCTCATGCCTCTGCCACCACTGTACTCCTCCGAGCTTCGCAATTTGAAACCATTCGGGGGTCAGCTACACCACCGCGAATGGAGAGACGAGGACGACAACGGTCGTGACTGAAAAGACACTGCCTTGGCGACCGCGTCGCGGAACCCTCGCCCCAGCAAATTCAGAAATACGCCAGGGGCAACTCTGGTGGACCCAGAGCCACCCCCTTGGCAAGACTAGTAAGAGGAACGACTGAAAACTCAGATAAAACGGAGCTACAAAAAGTGCAACCGTCCCCTTCAAGCACATATGCAACACACAGGGAGTCGTATACATGTACATAATATTGTGGCCAGCTGTTTGTAGCCAGCTGTGTTTGATGGTATGGTACGGTACGGGACAGATACGGGAGCCAGCAAATGGCCAGCTGTGCGATACGGTACGGGACAGATACGGGATAGCGCCAGGCGTGACACAAACAAACAAACAAACAAACAAACAAACAAACAAACACCAAATTAAAGCTGTGTGGACCCTGGCTAGCGCCAGACGTTACTGAAGTAACGTCTTCTGCATAGCTACGGGAATTAAATTTTGTTTTACAACCAGGCTACTGTGCTATCTGGAAGTTATTTGTCCGCGTATTTATAACCCAAATTTGTGTGTCCAGAAAGATGGTTTTATTACCCTGAAATTGTTCAAATAATGTTTGTTGTGTGGTGTGGCAAAGTGTTTGCCACTTGTGCCTAAATGTGTTTTGTCACCTTTTAATTTTAATAATCATTCTCTGTATGTTTGTGACTGGGGAGCACAATACAGGTAGACTCCCTCTAACTCGAATACGGTATAATTCGAACATTCCGTGTAATTCGAACTCTTTCGTGGTACCGATCTTCTGCTAGTCACTTCAAGTCAAATTTGAATGCATAATTCGAAGTGCGAAAAGTGCACCCGTTGGATGATTCGAACTCTGCCTTCGTACAGAAGAGCAGTTTACAGTACAGTGACTATGTCCTTCGAGCGCTTATTTCGAAGTGAGATGGAGTTGCTCTACTATTATTTCGAAGTTCTTTTTTCTCCTTCTCTAGCCAAGAGTAACTCAAAAATTGATCCCTGTTCCGCTCCAGAATCGACAAAAGCGTTAAAGAAACCCACCTTCCTTCGAAATTTGATCCAAGCCTGTGCAAGGCCGAGTGCAAAGATTTGATTGAAGACGATGTCTTCCAGGTTTGTCGTTGGGAGAAGTAAATTTCAAGAAAACCCTAAAAAGATGGAGGACATGTCCTAAGCGCTAGAAGAGGTGTTCTACTATCTGCCGGTGTATAGTTCTGGCCAATTGAGAACGTAGCTGGCTGTTTTGCCAGCGCTTGTAAATTAGCTATTTTCAACACGATCATTCGTGGTGTCAGGGGACTACAAGAAGGCGTATGACATGGTTCCTCACGATTGGATTGAGCGCTGGTTGGAGCTGTTTGGCATACACGAATCCGTACGCAGACTTATGACTGTTAGCATGGCTCAGTGGAAGCTTAACCTTTTGAACGGCACCAACAACTTGGGATCGGCGGCCATTCAGCGTGGGATTTTCTAGGGTGATTCCTTATCCTCACTGCTGTTCGTCATCTGCCTCATACCTATCACCATGGTCTTAAGGAAGGCTGACACAGCCTACTGTTTCAAGGATCAAAACCGAACCAAGCTCAATACATGGTACCGACTTTTCGGGGAAGAATTGCTAGTGGTTAGGAATTATCAGGATCTCATTTCAAAATACTACGCTGAAAATCAATCATCAGAAGGCTGAAACTCTTCTAGATGCTTGACCTTGTTAACTACTTGAGAAGTACAGTCACTACTGCAACGACAAGCTATCCTCACTACCCACTCAACAAATAATTTCATCAAAAACGCGACTTTGTTTCGAAGTTGTGAATCATTTGCAAGAACTTCCATCTCAGCACTTGCCTATGCGTCCAAGCACAATTGGTTAACCTGTGCGGCCTAAAAAAAAGAGAACAACCTGATGTCGAGCTGCATTGTGGGAGTACACAAGACACTCATATCAGCAAGGATTCGCTACAACTTTCTCGTTCTTTTTCGGGAAAGGCGATAGGTCGCTTTTAACTGATCACAGCAAAATGTAGTTTCTACTTGTAGTGTTTGTACTGAATAAGCAAATCCTTCTCTGTCTTGTGTTGCCAGAACCCGTACAATGTGATCGACCAATTACACAAGCCGGAGCCTATTCCAATTTCGCGAATGGCGTCTTCAATACCGAACAGTCAAACATCACTTTAACATGTAATTCCAGCTACTGGCGTTTGGGTTCGGCTCAGGCGACTTGCGAGAAGAATGGCACAGTGTCTGGTCTTGATGGTGGATGCGGTAAGATTTGCTAAGTATTTAAGAGAGCATGTTTGAGAATACAAAAGTATGTGGGCAAGTGGATCTCTGCGATTTTGCTCGAAATTTGCAGGTATGCTCCCTTTGGGGTGCAAATCGATTGTGGAAAGTCCTTGAAAAAGTTTCTGAAGGGAACCTTGAAACTTGCATACCCCTCAAAAATGGCCGAATTATCACAATTTTTATGGGTCTACAAACGAGTCACGCCACAGCAAGTACGAACAAGCGATGAACAAAACTCCATCAAGGCAAAATTGCTGTCCTGCTGCGACATGCTTCCTCGCTGCCGTATCCATGCCGACTCACCTACTTCAGATCTATCGTTTTGCCTGAATTTTTGTATGCTTCTATTAGTTACTACCCGTATTTGACAGTTGCCCAGGAACAACGGCTACATAGGCTGTTCAAACGTGCCGCTCGGGCAGTCTGCAAGTCGCCACCGTGGACCAGTACTGCTCCCCTGCTAAATCGAATGCATGTATGTGATCTACAGGTTTCTGTGCACTTGAATATGTTTTGTTTCATCTGGCGATGTTTGCATGATGCATGTAGCACCCTGTTTGAGTCCTTTTTTGCTGTCGTGCCCTCAACTCGCACTCGGGGAGGCCAAAGCAACTTGCTTGTGGTCCCACCTGCTAGCACTGCTCGTTCTGCTAAGCGCCTAACGCACGCTGGAGCCATTATGTGGAATAGATTGCCACCAGCAGCAAAATGTTCAAATAGGTATTTGGATTTTAAATCTCAAGCCTTGCAGTATATATTATCAGCGACATAGGTTTTCCAATGCTTACTGGATTGATATCTGTTCGTTGCAACCAACCTTCCGTCATTTTTCCTTTCTCTTTTTCTCTTGTATCTACTTTTTTTTTTTTTTTTTCTCCACAATATCCTTTAACATGTTATTCACAGTGGGTCCAATGTTATTAGGCATTTTGCCTGTTTTGATTTCCACTATAAATAAAGTATACAACAACAACAACAACAACAACAACAAGCCAACATTGCCTCACCTTTAGAAGGGTTCCTAGAGCAGTACCGCTTAGCCACGCCAGGATCCTAGAAGGCGAGGGCCATCATTGATCGTCTAGGTATCGAGAGCCGTGGAGTCGGGTAATGGGCATATGGTCACCACAACACAGTGCACCATAACAACACAAGATAACACACCACAACAATATTCAGCTCAAGACCAAAGTGGACGCTGTGATTAGGTAATGCCCTCATCGCCGTCCTTGCCATTACCTCCCCCAGAACCGCCACCTACATCTATAATCGGCAGTGCTGGGGCTGAGTCTGTGGTGTCGGTGGCACGTGCATATATGGATGAGGCAAGCACTGAACGTGAACAACGAGAAAGAAGGCTGGAGGGAACGGAATTCAACAAAGAAAGTGACACAATCAACTTTCAAAGACCTAGACGATCAACGGCTAATTATTCAATGAATTATTACAGTACTGGAGGTCAAGCACCGGCGACGACACTGGGAACACAAGATTTAGCAACAACAACAACAGTGTGGAAGAGAAAAGGACATATGGATACGAGTTAAGAGTAACTCTCCATCACTGTAACATGATACTATATACAGTCAGAAAGTGCAATAACTAGGCACAAAACTGACAGAGTACTGAAACATTCGACGTCCTGACACCTAGCTTCAACACATCTCCGTAGCGCTAACCGACAGCCTTCCAACTTGGTTCTTTGTTCCGTTGGGACTGTAGCTTTTGCTCGTTTTCGTTGCGCTTGCCTTCCCCTCTTTGGTCTTTTCCATAACCTTGAACCTTCCAAGTTGGAAGGCTGTCGGTTAGCGCTACGGAGATGTGTTGAAGCTAGGTGTCAGGACGTCGAATGTTTCAGTACTCTGTCAGTTTTGTGCCTAGTTATTGCACTTTCTGACTGTATATAGTATCTTGTTACAGTGATGGAGAGTTACTCTTAACTCGTATCCATATGTCCTTTTCTCTTCCACATTTATTTATGGCTCAACATCCGAGTTTCAAACAACAACAATGGTAACAATTTACCATCAATATCAAAGAAGGAGTCAAAGAACAGAGGTTAAACAACATGAAGCGAGCCTGGGACCGATCGGTGTTGATAATGAGAATGACACGGAGGACGACACTGAGGACGAGTTGGGAGATGAGACGGAGGACGAGGTTGCGGTTGTTGGAGACGAGGAATCAGATAGTGATTGTGATCCTAAGAAGTCAGCCGTTTTTCTTCACTTGTTGTCTCACCCTTAGTGTCTGCAGGTGTATGATGATTTTAGTTTTTCTGTTCTTTGTCGTGCACGGTATGCTAGTCAGTTGAAAGTACTTGAGGCTGTTTGCATTCGTTTGCATAAGCCAGATCTTTGTAAGCAGAAGAAACATGTAGTTGCGTTAAAATTGTTTTCGTAGGTGCACAGCATGATTGTTTGTCTCACTACACAGTTTTAGCGTTATAATTAGTTTCTCACCCGCCGTTGCACTTAGCTCTCACTTCACTTATATTGTCTCACCTTCCCTCATTCTATTTTGGCATTGTATTTTGTTATCGTAACACATCATTGAATGTATTATTGTTCAGCATGGTTACTCTTCAGTCACGACTTTCCACTGATGAATGGGACAAGAAAATTAATTCTTGTAAACTTTCATGACTTCGTTGTAGTGTGGCGATGACTGCAGGATTTGTTCTCTTTATTGATATTCTGAAAAGGCTTCTTTTCGGCGAATTTTTCGGCCGGCCGTTATGGGAAAGGCCTACTTGCCAACATTCAACGCTTGGTCGACTCGTATTCTGATGATCTGCCAAGCTCTTCAACTATATCAACTGACATCCGAAAGTGAGTCAGGAAATGGAAGGACGCAGCAGAGAAGTCTGGTGCACTTCCAGCTACCCCACAAGAAGCTCTTGTGCATTGCGATGCCGATGTTTTCCCGAACATCCACGTCCCCCTCTGGATTGCTTCAACACTACCCGTCACCTCTGCGGAGAATGAGCGCAGCAACACTGCCTTGAAACGGCTGAAGCTCTACCTGCGCTCGAGCGCTCGACAATGGGATCAGAGCGCCTATCCTCTAACCTTTTCCCAAAGGTGCCGGCTGTAGTGAGCTGGCCAGAATGTAATGATTACTGGAATGACAAGAGACAATAAGATACAGCAGTGTGAATGTAGCACATCATGAAGGTGTGAGTACGACACATGCAGTAATGTGTAGAATGCAACCTATGACAGCTAGGTGGTGTAAGAACAACGCAGTCACTATCACTACATCACTCCTTCTCCTAAACAAAAAAGCCGGTGCCGGGGAAAGCAATAGAAGGAATTTAAAAAAAGAAGAAGAAGAGAGAACACAATATGAAGTTTTGAATTTCAAAGCACCCAATGGAGGAAGATAGGAACTCAACTTCAAAAAACACAAAAAGTTGTCAAGTTGAACTTTCAGAGTGAGTATGATGCATTGTTGCAATAATCTTTTAGGGTAAACTGTCTGCGTAGAGCCGTGCCTTCTCAGTAAATTTGATATGCGGTCCGGAGCGAGTGACTGCACCGTCGACGAATGAGCGCTTGCCGGAAGCAGCTGGAGTGTGTTCCTTCGGAGCAGGCTGGCTTTCACGTGCACATGAAGGTTGAGAGAGTGGCATGTTGTGGCATGGCGAGCCCGGAGGCAGATCCACAGACGGTAGACATGCCGAAACAGCACCTGGCACTGTAGACTGACCAATCCGAGCAGACTGTCCAGTTCCGGTTCTATCTGGTTCTGGCACTGATGGCTGACCGATCCAAGGAGCCGCCTGTGCTGGCGCTCGCTGCAGGTCCACCTCATGACGGCTGAAAGACGGGTTCGCTGACGACATGGGTGGAGAATCGTCCGGGCGATGCGGTGAAACAAACTCTCGTACATGCTGCCTATTCCTCAGTAGGTAGCGAGAGCCATCGGTCACTCCTACCTGACGGCCGAACTGGTTCACCACGGTCCATGACTGAGACTTGTCGCAGTACCCGTCCTGCACAGTGACTTTTGTGCCGAGCCGAAGCTCAGAAAGCATTCTCACGCCACGTCGGGAGTCGTGTTGTGCAGACATTTCAGCTTTTGTTTTCAGCTGGTGCTGGGGATTCACAACGGTGGGGTGGAGTTGTGCCGGGACTCTTGTACGCAGTGGTCGAGAGAACAAAGCTTCACTTGGTGATGTACAGAGCATTCTATGCCTCGAACATCGAATGTCAAACAACACTTGGTTAAGACGCCTCTGGAAAGGGAGATGTGGCTTAAGAGCAGACAGTCTCTCCCTTAACACTCGATGCAGACGCTCCACCATGCCATTCGAGCGGGCATACCTTGGGCTGGATCGTACATGTGTAATTGTAAGCCGGCTGAGAAATGAAGACATCTCCCCAGAGACAAACTGTGGGGCGTTGTCCGTTGTCTCGGGAAGACCAAATGCAGAGAATACCTCATCAAGTTCATTGATGACGGAAGCTGAGGTTGTCGAGCGCATTATCTTCAGAATAGGGTACCTGGAGCCATAGTCGACTATGGAGAGAATCGAGTACCCCTCAATGGATACGATGTCCACTGCCAGCTTTCTCCAGACGCCAACAACCTCAGTTGGTTGGAGCTCTTGCGCGTTATTGGTACGTCTCCTCCAGCATTCAGAGCAGCATTCCACGTATGTGCTTGCATTCTTAGTCATTCCTGGCCACCAGACTCTCTGTTGCAGGGTGTCTTGGAAGGCCTCTTGTCCAGGATGTCCTTCGTGTGCTAGGGTCATGATCGCTGCTCGTAAACCTTCAGGAATAACGAATCTGCCACCGAACATTAAGATGCCATCTACCACTGTCAGCTGATCACGGACGAGGTAGTAGGGGTGCTCCGGTGGCAAAATGTCAAGCAACGAATCATACAGTACGCGTTGAATCACTTTGCTCACTACTGGATCATCTTGTGCAGGACAACGAATGTCTGCAATTCCTACTGGAGCGGCTTTCCAAAACTAGGCCAACATACTCATGGAGAGAACGCGATTCGGCTGGAGAAGCATCAGTAGACGCTACCGGGGCTCTGGAAAGTGCATCAGTACAGAAGAGCTCCTTCCCTGGAACATGCTTGAGGGAGTAATCGTACGGCATAAGCGCGACTAACCAGCACTGCAATCGAGGTGGCACATCGTCAAATGCCGTCTGCACAATCGGTATGAGAGGTTTGTGATCAGTGTACACCTGTACATGACGACCCAGAACATACTGGCGAAAACGGGTCAGTGCAAACACTATGCCGAGCATCTCGCGCTGCATCTGCGAATATCGGGACTCTGTGTCCGTGAGCGTGCGGCTGGCGCATGTAATGGGCAGCCATTGTCCAGCCTTGCTTTGCTGCCACAGAATAGCTCCCAGACCAGAAGGTGAGGCATCGGAGCTGATTGCTGTCGGTACGTTTACATCAGGTTGGAAATATGCAAGTGTTTGCAATGAAGAGACTACAGCTTGCTTAGCTGTGGAGAACGCTTTGAGAAGATCATCGTTTACAGTGAATGGTTCACGCTTCATCAGCTGGCGTAACGGCTCTATGGCTTCAGTCAGGCGAGAAACAAACTTTCCTAAGAACGTGACCATACCCAAGAAGCGGTGTGCATCCGCTACAGTCTTTGGGGCGGCCATGTCGGCGATAGCGCTTAGCTTGCTGCTGTCCGGCTGAACTCCATCTCTGGTCAACGTGTGGCCCAGGTACTTGACCTGGTCTTTGCCGATGTGACACTTGGCCCAGTTCAGCTTGAGGTTTGCTGCCTTCAGGCGTTCCAAGACACTTACCAGGCGAGCAGGCGAGCATCATGCTCAACTTGATTCCTTCCGAAAATCAATATGTCATCTATGTAGACAACAACACCCGGCAGACCAACTAGAATATCCGACACCACTCGCTGAAAGATTTCTTTTTCGCCCTTTTTGGAAAAGGCCGTTTCTTTCGCCCTTTATTGCATTTTTTGGTGAATATCGCCCTTTTTGAGCTGAAAAAGTGCTAAAATCTGTTTGCTCATACATGTACATGCCTATCCGTCGGCAGGACAGCAACCACCCTGTTAACCACTGTATTCCAGCAAATTTCATTTCCATCAGTCGTCGTCATCCTCTCCATTCTACAATAATGATTATCCACTTTGTAGGCAGTGTACATTTCCAGGTTATCAGTCGGCAGCCAATGTCTTAGCCACTGTAGTCCAGTAGTCCAGTAGTCCGGTGTATAAATTGATATGAACAATGACCCTCTAGACAGCTGTTTCGCTCCTCCTGAGCTCATGAGTGGAGGCATGATGTTGAATGAAAGCATAATAAGAATAGACTGATCTTTACACGTCTACATTGGCGCAATTGCGCTCATTCGGCAAAGAAACATGGCACACCCTAGTGACAAAAGTGATAAAAAGTGATAAAAGGTCAGGTGATAACGACACGTGCTCATGGCTGGGACAGGAACATGTAGCACGTGTGAAAAGGGGGGGGGGGGCAAAAAACATCAGTCCGTCTAACACCAGAAAAGTTATGGGTGCGTTCATTATGTTCTCTAGCTTCTAGAAGAAGAAGAAAAGAGAAGTCGAAGAAGCTGGGATTACTCAAGAATGGGTCTCGAAGAATTCGGAGATATTTTGCACATGTCAAGCAAAGTGAAGCGCCAAAGGGGCCGCGATCTTGAGTGATGAATGTATGTGCGTATGCGAAAAGGGAAATGCGTACACTCATGATGAACACGTGGCTTTTAGCCATAGTTCGCATGCGCTGATCCCAAACCGCAGGAATCTCCAAGTTTCAACCGCCTCTGAAGCTTGGAGAGCTTGGAGAGCTTTGGAGAGCCTCCCTAAAGTCGGAGAGGATATAAGAACAGCTCTCGAACTTTTCGGACAGTCTCCAGCTTTTCCGAGAGGATTTAAGAACGCACACTTAGTTATTGCATGTGCCACAAAAAAACAAAATATACTTCCGCTGCTGACTGTACTTGTCCCACAGTGACGTGACAGGGAAAGAACAAAGAAGCCAACGCAGCAGACCCAAGCAGCAGCCCCTAAGCAGCAGACCCAAAGGCCCCTGAGGCAATCACTGTCCGGCCCGCCCGTCGCACACAGCCACACCACGCCGCCATACCAGTTGAACATGTACACTGATGTTGCCTGCGCCTTCTGTCAGCATCTTCCGCTGCAAAAGAGCCACTTGACACATGGAGAGGCCAATGGGGCATTCAGTCCATTCAGGGCTGTGCTGTGCACAATGCTGCTCTATCTTGATCTAGCATTTGATGTTGAGAAACTATCCCGCTTGTCTCGTAATTTCACTCAATGTAAAATTGTAAAACAAATACCTCTGGGGTATGATAGATTAGCAAATCCGGTTTTATAGTGATTAGGTGTTTAGGTGTGAGCAAGGTTTGCCCAGTTTAACAAGGGGAAAGAATGTGCATTACCCATGCATGGCACGTTTCACTTGGAAATACACAGATATCCATAGAGATAAAGTGGTGCTTTTTCGTTATTCAGTTTTGAAAAACATTTCCTTGATCAGTTGATAAACCTTCACAACGTCTCCGTCAGTTTTTAGCGAGGCAGCAATATTAATACGAGGTCAGTGTTCCTGAGCAAAGTGAACCGTTTGCCTGAATCATGCAACTTTCCATGACGAAAATCCCATGCACTGCATCACTGCTTCCCTCATTCCAGGCAACAAGCTCTCAATTAAGTCTGGGTCGCAGCACGGCTGGAAAAAAGCCCTTCTGCTTCCAAGCAGGACTTAAACCTGGTACCCTCTATTTCTCAATCATGGTCTTGGACCACCTCACTATATCTACCTGCTGTAGTTGGGTAAAGCCTCCGTACTAAGACACAGGGATGTTGTGTATCGCACACCTTTCTCCCATCAACCCCATTGTTTGCAAAAGTGGTGGTACTTTCAAGTAGTTCTGAGCGCAGGTTTTGAATTGTACTGGGAAGTAGCATATAAACCAACCAAACAACCCACCAACATATTTTCTATATGCTGCTTCTGAACTGTGTTGCTGGTAGCCAAGATAATATTATGTCAAAAACCAAGTTTACCAAACGGAATTTTTAAGGGAGATGCATTCAATTCCGCACATGGAAACAATGAACTGAGGGGAGTTTGTAACGATGGCTATACAGCCACACAAACACCTAAGGCGAATTGCGACATTTTTGGCACGGTGACTGTGATGGGCAAATGCGGTAAGATATCCTGTGTGTTTCTGATTAAGATTGTATAGTGGTGACAATTGATTTGAGCTTCAAGATTTAGTTTAACTTTTAGTAAGAGGAATTTCCTGCTATGGCCTTGTGAACGGAGCTCCAAGCAAATGGAAAATTCCAATCAAGTGAGATTTGAGAAGTGCCAAGAAAGAATACATTACAGGGCAGATCTCTAAAGGGTTTGCTATTAAGGGGATTCGCGACGGTTAGCGCCATTTTGGATTTCCGATTTTTTTTCTGAAAAATAATGCCTTTCGGAGTGGAAAAATGGGGCGCGATCATGAACAATCGAGTAAGTAGTTTGCCCATGACCTCGCAGCGCGTGCTCGGGTCGAGACAAGATTTGAGGAAGAAGCTCAGCCACTACTACTTGCGGATTTGTTTTGGCATTGGCGGTTTTTGGATAGCTTGGTTCTCCTGGTGACGTGTCATGGAAATGAAGATGCGGGAGAGTAATCCGTCGCCCACGACGCGACCTTGCATTCTGCGTACTGGACGATTCAAGAAGCCGAGGAGGGGGACGCTTCGCAAGCTCAAACGATCGATCGAGTTCCTGAAAAATGTGGTAAACCTCTGGCGCTCATTGATTGTGTTGAAGAGAAGAGGTACGGCTTGGGTAGCGTACTTGTCATTCCGTGTCAGCAGTGTGGGATGGAGAATTTATAGATACAGTGCAGGGGCGGATCCGGGGGGGGGGGGGTCGGGGGGTTCGAACGAACCACCTAAAATTTTCCGACCATGGTGCAGTTTTTTTTAGTTTTTTACAAAAGCCAGGCATGCGAATTGCTCCTAGGATCCTGGCCTGCCGTAGCGCATATATAGCCCGAGCTGAATCAAGCAGATGTTACATTGATACATGTGCATTGATATGACCCTCAGACAAACACCTTGCCAATAGGCCTTTCCCAAATCGGCCATTTATTTTGGCCTTTTCGGCTTTTCGATCGGCGGAAAAAATCGCCAGAATCGGTTGAAAATTTCTGTAAAAGGTGGAAATTCGGCTCTAAAGTCGCAGCCACCTTTCGCCGATAATGGCTACAGAAATTGTATTTGCATCCTATTGAGGCACTAAGACATCAATTTTCGGCGAATTCAGTGCGAAAATTGCGTATTCGGCTAAAAGATCGATGATTTCTTCAAAACCACTTTTTTCGGCCAATGTTTCGACCGGCCGATTTGGGAAATGCCCACGGGCCGTGACGCAGGCGTGCACGAGCGGTCATGGCCAGTTGCCCACGACCCTGCAAAACATATACATGTACTACTTTCACTTTAGCTCATACATGTACATGTACATGTACATGTACACCCTTCAAAGCGGTGAACCCCTTGTAGTCTAGGAGCCAAGTCAGCAAAAGTCCAAGGAATAAGGTATTGATAGGCGACACGCCTCTGGGTCATCCTAATAAAGATATTATTATTCCCGTAGCTATGCAGAAGACGTTACAGTCTACTCGCGATAAGTCACGCACTTTTAAGTCACGCACTCGCGATAAGTCACGCACTTTTTCATCCAGGACACCCATCTCAAGATTTTTTATTTTTCGGGATTTTGCGGATTTCGTGGATTTCGTGAGTATTTGCGAATGATGTGGTTTTCAATGATGGAGCTTGAATACTGTAAAGGTAAGAATATAATTATTAGGCCAAACTAAAGAAGGTGTGTGGTTCGACTCACCCGACCGACCGTACAATTTCAGCCCGACCGTAACTTTTTTTCGGCGGGCTGTCGTGTGACTGACGTACGTGGACTGAACACGTCCACGTCTACGTGCTGTGCGGCGTGAGTCTGCGGACGCAGGCGGCTCCTTTTGGACTTGACTTGTAGTTGTACTGCAGTGCAGTGCAGTGAGTGGTACGACTGCTGCCTTGTGCTGGTAGTAGAGTCTACTCGATACGCGTATACAGTGTATTTACATGTACTAAAAAATATATAAAAAAAAAAAATCCGCCCGCCCGCCCGTAAAAAAAATGTCCATGTTAGTCGAACCACACACCTTTTTTAGTTTGGCCTTATGTGCATATTTTATGAGAGCCTTCTCCCTCATGAGCTCAGGATCACCCACGACAATCCAAGTTTGTCAGTCACAAACTTCTCCCTTCGAAGCAAAATATACTTCACTAGCCGCTCCTCAATTTTCCCGAACTGGGAACTTCTGTTGCGGACTCCCTGTGGACCAGACGGATTAGCATTGGCGAGTTTTCCAGCTTCAGCATCCCTCAGCCAGCCGCGGAACATCGCCTCCGGAACATTGTTCAACTTCGCAAATTTTCGAGCGGAGGTTTTTCCATTCTCACGATAGAGACGAACCAAACGCAGTCGATCAGCCACTGTTCGCTGTTCTTTCGTTTTCTTATGAGAAGGCATCGTCAAGCAAAGGGAAACGAAGTGTTTACACGACGGAAACAGAAGTACGTCTTGTCAAATCCCTACGAAAACGGCAAAAGTAAAGGAACGTCGTTACTGTCTAGTCTTTCTCAATCATGCCTAGCCTTCATATCGATCACGGCTTCACGCTGTGGTAGATCTACTGTACTAGTACGTCTCGTGTGCATGCAGCTCAGTGCTTGTACGCGTGTTCAGCACACATGTGACATGTCCATAATTATGCACAAGAAAAAATGACGGCTGTACATATGCATGACGTGGTGCATAACGTAAGTCGCGCACTCGCGGTAAATCGCGCATTTTCTATTCCAGGACACTGTGCGTGACTTATCGCGAGTAGACTGTACTTCAGTAACGTCTGACGCCTGTCCCGTTCCTGTCCCGTACCATACCGTACCATCAAACACAGCTGGCCACATACAGCTGGCCGCAATAGTAGGGCTTTCAAACGCATCAAACACAGCTGGCCACATACAGCTGGCCGCAATATTCAACTAGGGCTCTCAAACGCAAGATCATAACGTGAAGTAACTTGGAAGAATGAGTATGAATGCAAAGTGTATGGGGGAATGCATGTAGGGCGATAGTGCGGGTTCGGATCCCAGGTTATGCCTAAAAAAATAAGAGAATTGAAAAATTTATAACATCCTTATGCTTTTTTTGCCGAGGTCATCAAGGCGGTAGACGGTGTCGTATTATCCTCGACCGTACCTGTCCCGTACCTGTCCCGTACCGTACCATCAAAGACGGCTGGCCACAATGCATATTCAAATAGGGCTTTCAAATGCAAGATCATAACGTGAAGCAGTTTGGAAGAATTAGTATGTATGCGAAGTGTATCGGGGGATGCACGCAGGACGATAGTGCGGGTTCGAATCCCAGGTTAAGTCTTTACAAAAAAAAGGAGAAATTTATAAGAATTTATAACATCTCTATGCTTTTTTTTGTCTAGGTCATCAAGGCAAAAAAGCATAGCGTAGGGCCCTGAGCTTCCAAGCTCTCTCGTTATTACATGTACATGTATATTCAATATAGCTATGAATAGGATGAAGGCCGCAGACATCACGCAACTACGTGACTTGTTTGACATGTATTACTGTGTATTTTATAACAAAATATGATCGAAAACCCAGAATCGATAGCTACATGTACATGTATATTAAAATTATTATCTCCACGTAGATTACATGTATATTCGGCGATTTCTTGGTAAAATCTCAGAAGTCGGCGAAAAGATCGGCGATATTTTGAAAAGGCTACTTTTCGGCGAATTTTTCGGCCGGCCGATATGGGATAGGCCTACTTGCCAACATTCAACGCTTGGTCGACACGTATTCTGATGATCTGCCAAGCTCTTCAACTATATCAACTGATATCAAAAAGTATTCTTTCTAGACCAAAGAGTGGTATATTTGATAACATATAATAACGATAGAAATTTTTACGATACTTCTCCAGATGTTTCGTTGTTCTGAACAACATCGTCAGTGGATAAAGAATCTTTCTTTATCCACTGACGATGTTGTTCAGAACAACGAAACGTCTGGAGAAGTATCGTAAAAATTTCTATCGTTATTAAATGTTATCAAATATACCACTCTTTGGTCTAGAAAGAATACTTTTTGATATTACAATGAGAGTGAATAATCAACGGCTTGTCCACCAACTCTTTTTAAATCAACTGACATCCGAAAGTGGGTCAGGAAATGGAAGGACGCAGCAGAGAAGTCTGGTGCACTTCCAGCTACCCCACAAGAAGCTCTTGTGCATTGCGATGCCGATGTTTTCCCGAACATCCACGTCTTCCTCCGGATAGCTTCAACACAACCCGTCACCTCTGCGGAGAATGAGCGCAGCAACACTGCCTTGAAACGGCTGAAGCTCCACCTGCGCTCAAGCGCTCGACAATGGGATCAGAGCGCCTATCCTCTAACCCTTTCCCAAAGGTGCCCGCCCTTTTTCGCCCTTTTTGGAAATGTCCGTTTCTTTCGCCCTTTATTGCGTTTTTTGGTGAATATCGCCCTTTTTGAGCTTTTTGAGCTGAAAAAGTGCTAAAATCTGTTTGCTCATACATGTACATGCCTATCCGTCGGCAGGACAGCAACCACCCTGTTAACCACTGTATTCCAGCTAATTTCATTTCCATCAGTCGTCGTCATCCTCTCCATTCTACAATACTTTTGATTATCCACTTTATAGGCACTGTACATTTGCAGGCGATCAGTCGGCAGCTAATTTCTTAACCACTGTAGTCCAGCAACTGTCATTTTCAAAAGCACTTTTTATTTTTATGTCATCACACTTTGGTAAGGGTGGAAGAAAACTGAACCCCTTCAATACCGAACGGAATATCCTGCACGCAGTTTGTAACTCCGGCTTTGAATCTAGTGGTCCGTCTAACCCTCAGGCAACTTGCCATAGTAATGGCACGGTAACAGTGCAAGGCAGATGCGGTAAGATATTCCTGTCGGTTTCTGATTAAGATTGTAGTGAGCGTAGATTGAAGTCTTACACCTGGTCCACGTCATCAATATAGTCACTCATCTTTCGAACTTAGTCTTTAGATAGTCCAAGGTTCGAGTCCTGTTGGGTCTGGCGATTTTTTCTCTTTTCAGGCAGTTCACTTCCCCGACTGATCCTTTGAATTTGACGTTCTCCCTATCCTGTCAAAAAAATTAATAAATCAACTCTTCATTGACCTGGCCACTACGGCGGACCGTTAGAGTCGCAGAACCAATTTTGCCATGGGGTGAGTCGACTACAAGAAGGCGTATGACATGATTGGATTGAGCGCTGTTTGGAGCTGTTTGGCATACACGAATCCGTACGCAGACTTATACTGTTAGCATGACTTAGTGGAAGCTTAACCTTTTGAACGGCACCAACAGCTTGGGATCGGCGGCCATTCAGCGTGGGATTTTCTAGGGTGATTCCGTATCCTCACTGCTGTTCATCATCTGCCTCATACCTATCACCATGGTCTTAAGGAAGGCTGACACAGCCTACTGTTTCAAAGGATCAAAACCGAATCAAGCTCAACCATCTATGGTACATGGATGACATCAAGCTGTATTCAAAGAATGAAAAGGTGTTGCGATCTCTTGTTTACACTGTTCCTGGATGTAGTCAAGACATTGGCATGCAGTTTGGTGTGGCAAAATACGCGACCGTTGTACTAAAGGCTCAACTGCAAACAAATATACAGCAAGGGCTGCACCAGTAGCGCAAGATGGCCCAAAATTTCTCTTGTACGAGGCAGCCAGTGCACTTGAGTTTCACCTGTGCATCGATGCCTCGTCGCACTAGTGGAAAATCATGATGTAGCAGTCGGGCGCTTGAGGATATCAGATATGCATTGCAGTTGGAAAATCAAAAATCGAAAAATAAAAAAGTTCTCTTTGGGGGACAGCCACAGCCCTACAAGTAGGTACCTAAAAAGATGCATGATATATACAAGTATGTTAAGTATGTTATATTTGCACATGCACCATAAATACATGGGCTCATGGCAACATGAGAGAAATTTTTGAATATTATTTTTGGATGGGAGCGTGGGACGCATGTGAAACTCGCATGAACTATCTGCCCAGCACAAGAGATCGTTCTGGCACAATCTGGGCCATTTTGTACTACTGTTGCAGTCCTTGGTGATTTGTTGTTGTGGAAAAGTTCTTCTTTCTCGTCATGGTGGGCTGTTGTTGAGCAAGTGACGCTTCGTATCCCAGTATCCAAGCTACATTACTAGAGTTTCTGGACCAAACTGTCATAGTGGGCAAACAAGGTCCACTCAGGTATAAAAGGAGCCAACTCGGTAATCGGTAATTTGGCCATGTCCGGGGATATTTGCTCGTTAAAGACATTTACTGATTTAAATGATGATGGGTTGAAACCATTAGTCCTATAAATTTGGCAACAAGAGCTAAAAGCCAGAAGGTTATATACACAGTTCCATATTATTAAGAGTCATCAAAATGTGACGTCAAAGTTTGAGCTGGCTCGAAAAGATTCTTTTTCGATCGAGTGGATGTTCTTCTTGTCCAAGGAGTTTCTAGTGTCTTCAAGTGAGTTGGGTCAAGTTTAGTCTCAAAGTACCACACTAAGAATTACTGATTTAAGTGATGATGGGTTGAAACCATTAGTCCTACATTTGCTAAAAGCCAGAAGGAACTAAACACAATTGCATATTTTAAGAGTCATTCTTAGTGTGGTACTTTGAGACTAAACTCTACCTCTCACCTAGCACTAAAATCAATTGACCCAACTCACTTGAACACACTAGAAACTCCTTGGACATAAAGAATCTTTTCGAGCCAGCTCAAACTTTGACGTCAAATTTTGATAATTAATATGAAGCACAGAAGTGATGGTTTCCCCTGCCTGCCTCATTGCAGTATGTAAGAATACTCTAAAGCTGTTTTAAAAAGATTCTTGCGCAGGTGCTAGAGGCTTTTACATTGCCAAGTTTGTTATAATTATTGCGCTCTTTGGAGCAACTCACAGCATCATTTAGCCTGTGTACATTTCAACACCATTCTACCGCCGATATGCTGTGTAAATTGACATTGTTGTGCTTCGTCTCATTTTCAACCGATTTGAGAAATGATGAAGAAAGGAAAAGGACAAAATGTTACGAGTTATGACAAACTGTTCACCAACGTAACCCGATCTTATACAGTCCTTTTCCTTTCTTCATCATAACTATATTGGCTCACCATCCGAGTTCAGATTTGAGAAATGATTGTACAAAAGGACTCATCAGATTTACAACTCCCTTCGTCTCTTCGTATGCAAATATGTTTCCCTTTGTATAAGTTTTTCTCCATGGCAACTGACCTATGGGTACACTTCCATTTTGTGGTTTCGTAGCAGGTGAATTTCATCATGTTTGTGATGCCAACAGAGTGCTTTTTATGCACACGCGGGATACACTGGTTTACGATAGTGCCAGGAAATTTTGCACTGATAGAGGCGCCAGTTTACCTACCGTCAACGAGGAACCCTGCATGAACGACCTTTCCTCCCAGTTATTCAAAACCGAAGGACACCTATATTTCTGGAGTAGTACTCGTCTACTTTCGGGAAACCGGTTTGCCTCTAATGGACTTGGTACAATGGTTGCTTTGTCCCCTATGAAGGAATTTAATGTAGCCTGCGTTGAGAATAGGAGTAAGTCGATTAAATATAACATGCACATATTATTTGAGTTTCTTTGTGCTGTGCTGATGGGTCCACAAAGGACGAAACAGCATGCTGTCTGCAGATTTCAGAGTCATTTGACACCCTTAGCATAAATTGTTATGTTGTAACGGTATTACCTAAGGGGGGTAATACCTGATCTGGGTTCGACATTCGGCAAGATGCTTGTGCACGCTATTATTTCGCGGGATACAGCCATTTATGTATCTATTATTGCACGATTAAAGAGGTCAATATATTTCATATATCCATTCATATATTGACCGATTATGAGGGCAATAATAGATTAAATCTATTATTGCCCTCATAATCGGTCAATATATTATCATGACATAGCATACCTAAACTGTTTTTAGCTTTGTTTATAGGAAGAAAGGAATACTATTGTAATAGTACATAGTATGTACATATGCCGTTTACATTGGACATTACTTCTCTGTAAACAGAAGTTTTCAGTTGTCTCTTGTAGTATGTTCCCCAAGTTCTTTGACTGAGAATTTGACAGTTTGGGTTCGAATCCCAACATTTGTGATATTTGACCGCTAAGGGATCACAAGTTTCTGTGGGGGTCAATAATAAGAGAGTGATAAGTCACCATACGAGACAAGTAGAAATGCATACCTACTATGCAATATTTGTCTCACAATGCACAACTACTGATATTCGCAATAGTCACCAACGACTTGCACAGCGGCACAGCGCTTGGCCCATTTGGCAGCATCATCCCCACGTCGGAACTTTGAGGATCTGCATGTGTACAATTTCCATGTTTTCCGTGTGTAGGTGCCGATTAAGCAGCGTAGGTGTGTGGCTCGTGAACACAATTTTTCTAAGGTCAAGAAGTAGTACATGTACCAGGCAACTTGTGGATACAAACTGTGCCTTCGTCGCGACATATTGACATCGTTTCAAATGTGATGGAAATCATATACAAAAATTAGCTGCCCGTAAAGGGTTAAGTTGACCAAATATAACTTGTTCATTACATTCATTTTGATTTTCTCTGTCCTATGCTGATGGGTCCTCAAAGGATGAAACAGGATGCTCTCTGCAGGTGTCGTAGTCAATGTATGTAATAACCGAAATCACCGGACATTGCCAAATTTCGGATTTCGCTTAACCGTTTGCTCCGTATATCCTTGATTGGAACTTATTCGCCGACTTAGTTGTCGATGTTTTAATCATGGCCAATATCCAAGGACCATACCATCTATGTTCGCACACCAATCCAAGTTACCTACTTGATCCGCCCAGACACAATTGGGGCTTATCTTCCCACTTGTCTCAGGAAGAAAACACAAATGTGCATGATCATTTACATGTCAGGAAGCAACTCAGCCGAAGATTCAAGCAAGTTACATTATCTTCTTCGCCACTGTCGTTCCTGGAGGAACAGCTCAAACGTTCGATCTGCACAGCTGCTGCACGTTTCTTGTTCAACTTCTCCCCATCTCGGATCTCTCTCAAAGGCTGTGCGTGCCTGTAAAAATAATGCCTTTGTTTGAGACAAAAAGGCAACGCCACATCAGCGGTGTCCTTTTTCAAGTCGCCTCTTGCACTTGTCGTATTTGCTGATCCTCACCCAAGTGAGCCGCCGGTGCTTGTAAATGCAGCACAGTGATAGCATCTGCTTTTTGTAGCACCTGTGCATACTGGACTTAAGTCTTAATGCCTTGCACCAGTCTTTTAGGCTAGTTTCCTGAAAGTCCTTTGCACGAGAGTTTCACTCAAGACTTGGTGCTTTATTTTGAGTAGATACTTTGCCCGGTCCTCTGTGAGCTTCAGAGTGTGTCCACCGGATTGGTCTCATTTTTTGGAGATTTCGACATGCAGTTTCTTCGTCAGCGATTTGCTGGTATTCGTTGGTGGCAGCTCCAGTTTAAAAGACTCAAACGAACCAATCGCAACTTCTGTCATGGTTTGTGCTGCCACGTTGTCGGATGCAATGGTCACTGGTTATGTTCGAAGGGTGAATCGGTGGTTCCATGCCGTATGACATAGGCAGAGCACCGAAAAATCAAGTGCGAATATATTAAAGCGCCAATTATAACTTGGCGGCAACGGCCCAATACCACCCGACATGGCCAAATTTCCGATTTCGCTAAAAGTTGCCTCCTACTGTCCCTAGGTGGGCCTTATTCACTGACTCTTTTAAAGGTTAGGGCAAGTGCTGGCGAGGTGATTTTCTGAGTGCAAGAGCGGCAAGTTGGTGCCTGTTCCTCGTGCTTCACGTGGAAGGTATTGCCTTCGGTTGTCTGCACGAATGTTGGCACCTGCATACATCCGTTGTTCAGGCAAACAGTTATGAAGCATACGCCTGTTCCGACAAATGCACCCGACTTTGTGCGGGTACGGCCGTGCCAAATAGTGCCTTCTACCGTACCGTGTTTCGTGAGTGCATGAATGACGGCGGCATCGGAGATCCAAATCGGGATGTCCAAGATGTGCAGTTGCAGTAAGGAAATGAAACAATGGCGGACAGCAATGCGAGATTTGCCAAGAAAGAGACGAAGTTCAACAATGGTTTTGTTAGAGGTCTGGCTGAAAAAATTTGCCTTGCAAGTTGACCCAGTAATCTGCTCGGAGGCGACGTCATCTTACCCCTGGTTTATGAGGGTGTCCGCATTTTCCTCAATTTTCTGGCCTGTGAGGCCGTCGACAAACATCACAGTATCGACCTTCAGCCTCCACAAATTGCACATTTCAGCCTCCACAGTGGCTCTGGAGGCTGACGCTTTGAGCTGCCTGGCGGTGCGGAGTTATCCATGATAGGCAGGTAAATATTAGTCAGAATATCAATTGATATATGCCTCGAGGGGGGGGGGGGGGGAGTAGTCACGACACTGAGAGCTTCAAAACTTGCTTCTTACTCCTGGCGAGTTTTTGACATGATGCCAAGAAAAGTACCTTTTGGCATGATACATTCACACTATCACGCAGTATTCTTATCTGTACATGGAAGCACCAATACCCGACCCAACATAACCAGAACAAACAATACCCGACCCAACATAAACAGAACAAACATGAAATACTAGAAACACTCATCAAGCCTCTTTTTGCCCTTTGATCTCTGTTGTTAGTTTGTCGACGGCCTACAGATCCAGCTTATGGGTCTTACAGCAACGGTGTATTCTCCCCACAAGAATTTCTGAATACGCTGACTTTGACATGTAAACAGGGATATGAGGTTCACGGTAACCCGAAGGTGACTTGCATCACAGCACCTTCCACTACTACCCCACTAGCCACATGCGGTAAGATTTCTTGTGTGGTTTTCAGATTGCAAAATCAGTGTTACAACAGTATCCCGTGAGCTTGTTCCCAGCAACTGACTGATTTGGGTGCATGTGTGTTAATTTCATTGTTTGTGAAAAAATACAAATTACAATCGGACGTGCTTCAAATAGACCACATCGCCATTCCATTTCTAACCATCCGCCTCGGTGTGGATAGAGCTAAATCATATTCACTGATGAGACCTTAGTGGTCGAAACAGCGTTGAAAATCGGCTTTCGGTATGACCGTCCATTCAAACACGACTTCGCACTGAGGAGTGTATAATCAGTTTAAACGCTAGTATGAACATTGATGAAGCAATTCCACCTCCTCCATATGCGCTCTCTGGCCGACAATGACATCAGCAACATGACTCCAAGTTGTATATGCTGACAGATATAATTACCTCCAGGCAGCGTTGTTTGGATCACTAAGGTCTGATCAGTGGAGGTTGAGAATAAATAATGGCTAGCATTAATTTGAACTCACATATTTATAGATAGAATGAAGCGAAGAATTGTGATCCCGCGCTTGGAGATACAAGACGGGCTAAGAGGGGCTAAGTGCTTACACATGGTGCAAAATGACACTCCTACATGCCATTAGTGTACTGCGGGCATCATCGATACTTACGCAACAGATTCTAGCACTCTGAGATACAGCAATGTAGCATACTGAAACAAACGGGGAGACAGTTCAGACTTTTGCGCTCCAACAAAGTACTGCAAGTACGCAAGACGCCCCTGGGGCATTTTCTCCGTCAACTTACTCAACACCATACAGAACTGTCATCGCATGATCGGGCGAAAATTCTGCTGTTGTCTCCATTGTTTATTTACGGTTCTCATTACATGGTGTCACCCTTTGAGTACATAAAACACCAGTATGTAAACTGAGAAGAAGTAGCGACGACCCGGCCATTATGGAATTCGATACACCACACCACCACATTGCGCTCTTGGCCGATCCAAACTCTGCACTCATATCACCATCACCACAGCGAGGACAATTCCGGTGTATAAATTGATATTAACAATGACCCTCTAGACAGCTGTTTCGCTCCTCCTGAGCTCATGAGTGGAGGCATGATGTTGAATGAAAGCATAATAGGAGTAGACTGATCTTTACACGGCTACGCAATTGCGCTCATTCGGCAAAGAAACGTGGCATACCCTAGTGACAAAAGTGATAAAAAGTGATAAAAAGGTCAGGTGATAACGACACGCGCTCATGGTTGGGACAGGAACAGGTAGCACGTGTGAAAGAGGGGGGGGGGCAAAAAACAGCCGTCAGTCTAACACCAGAAAGGTTAGGGTGCGTTCTTATATTCTCTAGCTTCTAGAAGAAGAAGAAAAGAGAAGTCGAAGAAACTGGGATTACTCAAGAATGGGTCTCTAAGAATTCGGAGATATTTTGCACATGTCAAGCAAAGTGAAGCGCCAAAGGGGCCGCGATCTTGAGTGATGAATGTATGTGCGTATGCGAAAAGGGAAATGTGTACACTCATGATGAACGCGTGGCTTTTAGCCGTAGTTCGAATACACTGATCCCAAACCGCAGGAATCTCCAAGTTTCAACCACCTCTGAAGTTTGGAGAGCTTGTAGAGCTTTGGAGAGCCTCCTAAAAGTCGGAGAGAATATAAGAACAGCGAACTTTTCGTAGAAGTCTCCAGCTTTTCCGAGAGGTTTTAAGAACGCACACTTAGTTATTGCATGTGCCACAAAAAACAAAATATACTTCCGCTGCTTGTCCCACAGTGACGTGACAGGGAAAGAACAAAGAAGCCAACGCAGCAGCCCCTAAGCAGCAGACCCAAAGGCCCTTGAGGCAATCACTGTCCTGCCAGCTCGTTGCACACAGCCACACCAGGCCGCCATACCTGTTTAACACGTACATTGATGTTGCTTGCGCCTTCTGTCAGCATCTTCCGCCGCAAAACAGCCACTTGACACACCAAGAGGCCGATGGGGCATTCACTCCATTCAGGGCTGTGCTGTGCACAATGCTGCTATATCTTGATCTAGCATTTGATGTTGAGAAACTATCCCGCTTGTCTCGTAATTTCACTCAATGTAAAATTGTAAAACAAATACATCTGGGGTATGATAGATTAGCAAATACGGTTTTAGAGTGATTAGGTGTTTAGGTGTGAACAAGGTTTGCCCAGTCGAGCAAGGGGAAAGAATGTGCATTACACATGCATGGCACGTTTCACTTGGAAATACACAGATATCCATGGAGATAAAGTGGTGCTTTTTCGTTATTCAGTTTTGAAAACATTTCCTTGATCAGTTGATAAACCTTCACAACGTCTCCGTCAGTTTTTAGCGAGGCAGCAATATTAATACGAGGTCAGTGTTCCTGAGCAAAGTGAACCGTTTGCCTGAATCATGCAACTTTCCATGACGAAAATCCAATGCACTGCATCACTGCTTCCCTCATTCCAGGCAACAAGTTCCCAATAGGGCTTGAAATTGATGACGTCAAAACGGCCAGGGAGTAGTAAGTTGACATCAGATTTCTATTTTTGGATCCACTAAGGTGTGACTTTGCTATTGCCTAAGTATATGGGTGCATAGCAACCCACTCATGTCGCATGCAGGTGTGACTTTTATTTCGCCACCAGTTGTAACCCCGCCCGCACTAGCCAAATCAGTCAGTTTCACTAGCTACATCACCATGCTGTGGGTAAGACCGCTTGAAATGTGCTTGGCTCCATACAAAAACTGGATCCAAGTGGATCCAGTTTTTGAATTTTTGAAATTGTTGCTATGCTGTGACGTAGCACTTTCAAGCCCTATTAAGTCTGGGTCGCAGCACGGCTGGAAAAAGCCCTTCTGCTTCCAAGCAGGACTTGAACCTGGTACCCTCTATTTCTCAATCATGGTCTTGGACCACCTCACTATAGCTACCTGCTGTAGTTGGGTAAAGCCTCCGTACTAAGACACAGGGATGTTGTGTATCGCACACCTTTCTCCCATCAACCCCATTGTTTGCAAAAGTGGCTGTACTTTCAAGTACAGGTCTGCTCTCGATATAACAACTCTCACTTGTACATAAACCTCGCTAGTACGTAAAAAAATCGAATCCCGCACCGAAACAGCATCACTCCCATACAAATTTTGTTCTACACAACATAATCCTACATAACATAAACCTCGACATAACACACGCTGCGGCGCGGTCCCCAACGTGCGCACTCTCGATACAACATAATTTCGCGTGCACGGTACGATCAAGTGGTAGATGTAGCTAGCCAATTTAGGCAAGTTTAGTCAGACATAACGTAAACCTCGACATAACACACGCTACGGCGCGGTCTCCAAAGGGCGCACTCTCGATACAACATAAATTCAAGTGCGCGGTACAATCAAGTTGTAGCCGTAGCTAGCCAGTTTAGTCCTATTGTGCATGTATTCTGCGGCATTGATGGTATCTGATGTCGATGGTGGTACAGTGTGTATATGTTTGCACGGTTGAACCCGCCTTGTAAAACCCTTCATTTTGCGGTACATATTGTATTTTACACATGGTTTTCTACATAACATAACTCTCGATATAACATAATTTTTGCGTGGTCTCAGAGAATACGTTATATGGAGAGTGGACCTGTAGTTCTGAGCGCAGGTTTTGAATTGTACTGGGAAGTAGCATATAAACCAACCAAACAACCCACCAACATATTTTCTATATGTTGCCTCTGAACTGTGTTGCTGGTAGCCAAGATATGTCAAAAACCAAGTTTACCAAACGGAATTTTTAAAGGAGATACATTCAATTCCGCATTTGGAAACAATGAACTGAGGGGAGTTTGTAACGATGGCTATACAGCCACACAAACACCTAACGCGACTTGCGACATTTTTGGCACGGTGACTGTGATGGGCAAATGCGGTAAGATATCCTGTGTGTTTCTGATTAAGATTGTATAGTGGTGACAATTGATTTGAGCTTCAAGATTTAGTTTAGCTTTTAGTAAGAGGAATTTCCTGCTATGGCCTTGTGAACGGAGCTCCAAGCAAATGGGAAATTCCAATCAAGTGAGATTTGAGAAGTGCCAAGAAAGAATACATTACAGGGCAGATCTCTAAAGGGTTTGCTATTACGGGGGTTCGCGACGGTTAGCGCCATTTTGGATTTCCGAATTTTTTTCTGAAAAATAATGCCTTTCGGAGTGGAAAAATGGGACGCGATCATGCACAATCGAGTAAGTAGTTTGCCCATGACCTCGCAGCGCGTGCTCGGGTCGAGACAAGATTTGAGGAAGAAGCTCAGCCACTACTACTGGCGGATTTGTTTTGACATTGGCGGTTTTTGGATAGCTTGGTTCTCCTGCTGATGTGTCATGGAGATGAAGATGCGGGAGAGTAATCCGTCACCCACGACGCGACCTTGCATTCTGCGTACTGGACGATTCAAGAAGCCGAGGAGGGGGACGCTTCGCAAGCTCAAACGATCGATCGAGCTCCTGAAAAATGGAAAGGGCGATCTCCACCACCAACGCCACTGGATTCAACTCCCGCGAAGAGGTCGTTCAGTGCCCCTCTTCACGGTCGACGAATCGTTCATCTCGGGTATTTGGCTGTGGGATTGTCTGCGTGCCAGAATCCTGGATGTGGTAAACCTCTGGCGCTCATTGATTGTGTTGAAGAGAAGAGGTACGGCCTGGGTAGTGTACTTGTCATTCCGTGTCAGCAGTGTGGGATGGAGAATTTATAGATACAGTGCAGGGGCGGATGCAGGGGGGGGGGGGTTCGAGGGGTTCGAACGAACCCCCTAAAATTTTTCCGATCATGGTGCGGTTATTATTATTATTTTTTTACAAAAGCCAGGCATGCGAATTGCTCCTAGGATCCTGGCCTTCCGTAGCGCATATATAGCCCGAGCTGAATCATGCAGATGTTACATTGATACATGTACATTGATATGACCCTCAGACGAACACCTTGCCAATAGGCCTTTCCCAAATCGGCCATTTATTTTGGCCTATTCGGCTTTTCGATCGGCTGAAAAAATCGCCAGAATCGGCTGAAAATTTCTGTAAAAGGTGGAAATTCGGCTCTAAATTCGCAGCCACCTTTCGCAGATAATGGCTACAGAAGTTGTATTTGCATCCTATTGAGGCACTAAAACATCAATTTTCGGCGAATTCAGTGCGAAAATTGCGTATTCGGCTAAAAGATCGATGATTTCTCCAAAACCACTATTTTCGGCCAATGTTTCGAACGGCCGATTTGGGAAATGCCCACGGGCCGTGACGCAGGCGCGCACGAGTGGTCATGGCCAGTTGCCCGCGACCCTGCAAAACATATACATGTACTACTTTCACTCAAGCTCATACATGTACGTTGCTGACATCACGCAACTACGTTACTTGTTTGACATGTATGTATAGGATATTGACCAAGACGAGGTCTATATGGGAAATATAGGCCGAGTAAGGGCCCGGTCACACATGCATTGGGGTTTCGCTTCGGCGAGAAGGTTCGGCGGCAGCGAGCCTGGTGTCGCTCCAGCGAAACCACGTGTGTATGGTCACACATGCAAACAGGGCACAACTCCTACTTTGGGGGAAAATGAGAATAAAGTGGACTGTGGTGCATACGGTACGGAGAATAGACGAGGTCAATGACCATCTTGCACGCATTTTTGTTGCATGGACATCATACGCATACAAATTTCTCGTAGCAAGTCCATATACAGCAGACCGTGGTGTTTTCCGCTGAAGCGAATCCGCAGAAGCGACAGTCTCGCTTCGAAAATTTTGGCGGAAGCGGATTGGAGTTTCCGCTGAAGCGGAAGTTCCGCTTTTCGCCGTTGCCATGCCATTTTTCGCTCCTGCGACCTCGCTTCAGCGTATACGCTACTTTCGAGTGCATGTGTGACCGGGCCCTAAAAGACCGAGGTCTGCCGGGGTCTTTTACGAGGCCTATATTTCCCATATAGACCGAAGTCGAGATCAATATCCTATTTCTCACGATTCCTTTGCCATAACCCCAAAATTAGAAACTTTAGGAGCTATTGTAACCTTTTTAGTATAGCATTTGTGGCAAAAACTCAATATTTCACTGTGACCAAGGAAGATGATTCCTGGAAATCGGTGAAGCTGCTGGGGAGTATGCTAGGCACAGCAGAAGACATAGCAGCTAGAGTGTCTGCTGCAAATCGGGCATTTGCAGGCATTCCATGGAAACGCCACAACCTGAATTCCAGGCTGTGTATGTTTTCCTGCCTGATATTGCCTGTCTTGCTGTATAATTGTGCGCTTTGGACCTTATCGCAAACATTAACCGACGTCGTCAATGTATGGCACCGGAAGAAACTACGTACCATCATTGGTATCACGTACCCACAACGAATCTCGAACACAGCGCTGTATGCCAGAACCGAGCAGACCCCACTATCCCAAGTCTGCAGGCAACGGAGACTGCTGTGGTTCGGCCAAGTAGTGAGGGAAGGCGAAGAATCGTCCTCTTTCCAAGCCCTCCTAATGTCGATCAACACAACAGACATACGACGACCCCGAGGACGGCCACGTCTGAGATGGATCGACGTTGTCAAGAAAGACTTACAATGCATTAATCTGTCGCTTCTGGATGCTGTGCAATCTGCTTCTGATAGAGCTGCTTGGCTCGAAATTGTTAACAGATGCGTTGACCTCATGCAATGAGTGAAATGCGAACTGTCATTATTATTATTATTATTTGTACTATAGTGTACATAGGATGTTGCCTATTTTGGGTACAAGACTGTAAGAACAACAGAGTTCAGCATCTGCAGCACAGTGGCTGGGTGGTATAAGGGGTTGCTTGAGATTCATAGTGTTGTGGGTTCGAATCCTGCTTGTTCTCTTCCTTTGTCTTCTTTCTTTCAAATTTTCTTTTTGAAGTGGAGAGAAAAATTCTAAGTCCCTCCAAAGTCGAAAGATTACAATGCCTAAGTGGTCGATACAAGCGGTCGATATTGCGGCGATATGGGTAATATAGGACCAGTCAAAGATCACGAGAATTAGTGGAGGTCGATATAGAAGAGTGATAATACGTATCTAATATTGACTGAGTACGAGGTCAATATAGGAATTAAAAGCCGAGTAAAAGACCGAGGCGAAGCCGAGGTCTTTTACGAGGTTTTTATTTCCTATACTGACCAAGTACGAAGTTTTTTTTGTTTTGTTTTTTGTTTTTTGTTTTTTTGAAGTAGTAAAAGCCTCTTTTACGGGCGAACAAAACACAATTTGCCATGGCGGAAGGATTGAAAACAAATCACATAATGATGACGTCGCATGTGATCAGAAAGCAAGAGAAGCATAGCATAGTCCGCACAATCACGGGGCAAGGCTCAACGGGACACCCTAGCCTCCACGACAGCCAAGGAGGCACAGCCATCCATTGGAGGCTGCCAAACTCGGCGAGCCCCACGCAGACACATGACACTCGAACGCAGCAGGGCGAAAGACAGCCTGCAGCGGAGGTGGGCAATTAGCACAGAATACGCCTCCCTCCCACGTAGCGACTGGAGATGTGCAATCCGGCTCACCAGTGCAGCGGCACCCTTGCCGCATCCTCCGGTGGAAGAGAGCACAAAGGGGAGAAAAGTGGATCGCTCCACTTCTCGGACTCTTCCGATCATATCGACGCCGTTTCTCTTGTTCATGGTGCCGGTAGCAGCCAGAGAGAGAGGAGGTGCGGTTCGAAGACGCATAAGGGTTGAACACCCGTACATCAATAAAAGTGCGTTCGAACCGACCCCCCCCCCCCCCCCAAACTCCACTGGCCACCACATCCAAACGAGCTTGATCCTCGGTTGATGCTGACCGGAGCTGAAACTGCTCCCCAGTCAGGGGTTGGAGATGTGGCTCCACTGCGACGTTGTGGGCGACACCCTTCAATGAGCTTGCCAGTATGTCGCGCACCTCGTTGTGGCGGATCGAGGGGAACCCACCGAAAGGACAGGACAAGGCGTGAGCAGTGGTGAATGCCTTCTCGCAAACACAGGTGGTGGGCAGGCGAGAAGGCGTCCAACCGTAACGGAGGCAGAGGCCATCCCGGAATTCCCCCTTCGACAAAGCGAAGCCATGGCGAGCGATGGGTCGGCAGGAAAGCCAGCTTGATGCTCCCTTCTCCTCTGCCAGACTGATAGCGAGATCGAGTTCGCTGTGTTCGGTGCCAAGTACGAAGTCAATATTAGATTTATCACGACAAACAGTCCGTATTTCAAATTCCAAAACGATAACCTCATGAATCCCGGTTTTATGATCGCACAACCGTTGCACCACCAACTAGTACCTACTCATGCAGTGACAATGCTGCACTAGGCACGTGCACCGTTCAACTGCGCGACCCCTAAGCAGTCAAATATAAGCAGTCAATATAGCCCTATAGAGTGAAATATGCAGGAATATTTGACTCCTTAGGTATGGCAAAATCTATGTGAGTCAATACTAAGAGAGTGATAATGTTTATTACATGTCAGGTGACCGTTTCCAGGTCTACAGCCAATCAGCGACCAGATAGAGCGGGCAATATTTCTCCATACAAGCCCGCTCAGGCGGTCCAATATTACACGATATTGCCCGGCATTTGACCCCATACACACTGTACACATACACATACAAGTAGGTGCTTATGTAGATGTAATATCAGTTGGATACATGTGCCTCGCAGGTTTTCGTAGTACCATGATCCCGAATTCCACGTGTGAAGGCAGTGTACGTTGATGAGTACATCAAATTAGGGAAGTACGAAGTATGCATGTAATAAATGTGTTATTAGCCTCGTATTACGGGCAATACCGGCTACGATATTGCCCTGATACTCGGCTAATAATGGTGTACTAGCTGTGCTAGTACTTGTTAGCAACAATCCGAACTAGCGCACACACTGCACTGCATTGCT